TGAGAGTAATTCTCGCTGTACTCAAGGCTGTGTGCCTAGACAGAAAAGAGATATTTCTTCATACAAATGGAAAGCAAATGCTGTGATTGGACCCATCCGCCTGAAACGAGATCGCAGTTCTGTAGATCACTTAGGTAAGCATGATATGTAAACTGAGAACTGGTACTGTCACGTGGTAGAAGTCAGGAATAATGCTGCTGAAGTGAATTGAATTATATTAGTGTGAAATTAGAGTGAGAATAGAATCAGGATGGAAAGGATTTGATGAAAGAAGTATTTCATTTGTGTTTTGAAAGAGCTCACAGATACTTTTCAAAATTGAGATTGACTTATCTTCCAGTATAAGACTTTAAAGCAATGACCATTAAAGAAAAAAGAAATAGATTATCTGAGCGCTTAGGTAGATGCTGGATCTCACCACAAGGAACGTTCATGAGTTATCAGTGCAAAAATAAGACTTCAGATATTCAAATCAAATCATGATTACCAAGACACCATTCTTAGACAGAATGAGTGTTTGCGTGCCTCTCATTGCCTGAAAAAGTGGGTAGATTAAAAAAAACAAACAACACATTATACATTACAGATCTAATCTTTGCTATAATTTTCATTAAAAAAGACATCTAGTACTCTACTCACATAAATAAGTGTTCAGTTACTACAGAAAAGCGTTTAATGTTTACAATCAGAATTATATATTATTGAATCCAAGGTAGGTTAAATCTCCTTGAACACATAAAATAAAAACTACTAAGGACAGGAACTTGTGGGGGGGGAGGTGAGTAGAGGAACCAATTCAATAACAGAAAGAAAGAACTTTTAATTGAAGCTGTATCTTTTTATGGATTATACATGACTTTATTGACATGTATCTATCATACAAAGTGAACACACAGTAAGGCAAAACTGTTTTTCAGAGACAGGACCAGTACTGAGAGGCAAATGTAGGTCAGTTTAAAACCATGAAAGAGATATTTTTAGGAAGCTTGGCACAACAGTAGCCTATGCTATATGTTTGGCTCCAGCTTTTCATGTGGAAATTTTAAATTTAAAAAATACTACATGCTTTCCAAGTCTAGATCTCTTTATCCCATATGTTAATCATTAGTCTTGTTGACAAAGAAATAGTAATATTAATACGTGCTTTACATTATTATGACTATTCTATTTTTGTTCCAGCAGCATTTACAATGTACTCAATCCTGTTGCTGTTTATTTTGTGGGTGAATATTGGCCCCCCATATGTTAGGATCTGTCACTTGTTTCAGCCCCAAAGAAAGCAGAGGATTTGAAAGCACTGCATAAACACTAAAAAATCCTCACAAAACCCTTCTGAAGAACATTAATATAATGTTGCATTAGTTAGTACCATAATCTTAGCTTAGATTTTCAGATATACCACGTTAAACTTTCCCCTTAAAACCATTACCAGAAGAAATGATACAAGCATTCATTCATAATATGCAGTTACTATATGAATATTACATAATGTATTAAGTCATATACTGGGAACCACTCCTTAAAGGACAAATGTGACACATTAACAACAGCTAATTTTAAATAACTGGTTTTGGGGTTTTTTTTAAAAAAACAAACCATAGCTATTGAGAAACAAGAGAAATGGTGAAAGAGCAATGCTAGAAAACCTAGTGTAGTTGAGTAACCTTGCTGAGAAATAAACAACAATTTTCTCTGTTTATTTTTGCTTTTAAATGAAAAAACCCCACAAATGCAATTCATTGCAACAAGGTCAATACATGCAATCTATTCCAAGGCACCTCTGAGGCATCAAAATATCTGATAAAAAAATGTATAATGCATTTCTCTCAAGCACTAGATAATTTTTCCACTGACTTCAACCATTTTTTGTTTTGTTTTTTGTTTTCTGTAGAGTCTCTGTCTGAAGTGCATCCTGGAAAAACCCAGAACCTGCAGCAAAACAGTTTATATATCTTTTCATTTATGATATTGGCTACAAATGTTGTTATCTTGGCAGTTGTAATAGTGAAACATTACATCAAATGTCAGTCAGAATATAAATACCAGAAACTACAGGGCTATTAGCAGGTGCCCATATTAGCCATAATAGTGCAGTGTGGAGAGAAGTATATTGTCAACTTTTATTCAGGTGTGTTAGTGATCACCAATAAAATATTCAGTGCTAAATAATCATCACACTTCGAATTGTTCCAGTGGTAGTATTTGAATATACTATACATACAAGTAAGTCTTAGGACCATTTAGACATTGCAGTAGAATCAAGCTGCCTATTTACTGATGTTTCTTGCACAGAATTCATTAAATCCGCATTTTGTTACTGCCTATTTCTGGCCACATCTAATTAACTTATTGCCTAATGAACTGCACAGTAAACATCTCAGCATCTACACATTCACACCTATTAGGGCACACAAAATAATAAACTCCACAGCAGGGTAGTACTTGTATTTACTAATACAAGCTGTGCAGTATGTAGCACTGCAGACCCGCCTGCGGTGCCACACACCAGCTATTCAGGCATTTCCCACGCTGCTACCTTGCAGTGTGGGGGTGGTTTTTTTGGTCCCTGGACACAGTCATAGACACTTACCAGCTGGCTGCGGCCCAAGGGTTCTAGCCCAGCACTGGAGCACCTTTGTTTCCCAGCCAGTCCCCCCATAGTGCATTGAGCCTGGCTGTAGCAGCCCTGGGCTGGCAGGCGAGCCCCCTGCCAGCTGGGGCTGCTCTGACTCGGCTCCATGTGCTCCACGTGAATACACTCCAGAGCTATGCTCTGAATTTATTTGCTCCCAGGCACACGTTCAAACAGTGTGCCCAGGAGCAAAAAAACTTTAGAACATAAGCTCCAACATTTATTCATGTACACTAACTGCACATGTAGATGCACCCTCTGAGTAGATGTTTAGATTTGAGCTACAAAGCCCAAAATGCTTAGGGTATATCTTTCAGGAAGAAAGGTCCCCATCTAGAGCTTTACTCTACATCCTGCATTTTCCTGAGATGCTGGAACTAAAGTTCCTGGTTTTAAGCAAATGGGTGACTTACTAAGACATTCTCTGTGAATTGTCCTTCTTGTGGATCTGACTACCTGGACCTGCAAACCTTCAAGGAACATGTTTTTTTTCTGCAGTGGGAGAGAATATTAGGTATGGTGGAAAAAGAAGAGTACGTGGGAGCAAATATGTGAAGGATCCATGCAAGCTCTGAACATTTTTCCTACTTATACTTCTATAGGTGTTTGTACATAATTTTAAAACATTTTTGCTATCTTAACATAATACAATTAAATCAAACTCTGTAAATCAGTCAGTCTTGTCTGTTTTTCTTCTACATGCTGTCAGATGGATGGGAATAGAAATATTTAACAGGTAGAAGGAAACTAGCACACAGTGTAAGTAAGAACTTCTGCTGTATTATTTCTGACCCTCTTGAAATTTACGACAAACTTAATGAATCTGGAACTTTAATTAAAAAATAAGCACCTATACACATGTATAATCGAGTCTGCTGGAGCTTTCTAATCAGAATGCTCCAGCATCTCATGCATTCACCCCCACATTTCAAAATGGCAGCAGTAAAGCTTGTTAGCAGCAGTTAACAAGTAAAGCTTGTTAACTATAGCCCCTGCTGCCATTTTGAAACATGGGATGCTGAATATATGAGACGCTGCAGGCATTTTAATCAAAGCAGCTCCCAAAAGCTGCTTTAATAAAAATTTCCCCCCACCCTGGAGCACGTGTAAAAATGCCCCAAATTACCATTATGAGAAATGGAAAAGGAAGTAACACTTTAGAAAAACATTTGACCTTTTCCTGTTTTCAAAACCAGCATATGTAGAACATCTGTAGTGTACCCCAGGGCACTAGACACCCTCTGGCATTCTAGCCTTTCTTTATTCTCCCAAAATTCCAGAGTAACAAACAGGAAAACAGCAAATGAAACAGGTGTCTCCAGACAAAGCATGATCTTCAGTTTGAGACAGCAGGGAAGGATTTAAATGTACCTGTGCACTGCCCACTTTGTAGAACTTACACCTATTACATATTAGAGTGGCCACCTTTGATAAAAATATTCCCCTGGCCCAGCATTGCCAAAATGCAGCAGTCCACACATGAAACGGATGGATTCTGGTACTTTGGTACCAATATATATATATTATAGCTCTTGGTTTCTGGTCCCCGCTTCAAGCATCCGTATTTGCTGTAACAGAGCACTATGGAAAGAAACGAATTCATAAATTGGATATTTTTCCATCCCCAGGGAGTACCTCAACAGTAGGTTCCATCCTGTTTCTAGTCTAAGTCTTTAAGTGAACAGCTTCTGCAGGAGGCCTTGAAAGTTCCTCTTACTGCATAGCATAGTAATTACACCACTAATGAAAGGAGAGGGAGATAGGGCTTTGAATTACTTTAGAGGAGAGAGACTGGAACTATACATCTCCTCCCCCTAGTGCACTAACCACTAAACTGCTACAGAAAGCAAGAGGACAGAGTAGCATCATTTCCTTCTGTGTTTTGAGAAGGGTAACCCAGTTCTGTTTCTTTAAGAAATGGTGAAAAAAAGATTCCAAGCATGAAACCTACAGGATAAAAAGCAGCAGGTGGTAGAAAAGCACTGAATTACATGCCTCTCCAGGACCTAGGCAAAAGGAATGATATGAATTAAGACACACCTAGTCTTTAGAAATTCCTATTAGTTTCTGAAGGCCAAGCGTGTTGGTTGTTATGGATTCCATTCTTAAGCTGTCTACCTTCCTCAATACACCGATTAGAGAGCCCAGACAATTAACACAGAGCAGTGGATTCTACCGCAGGAGCCAAGTGACTCATTCCCACTGTGAAGCTCAGCCCAAGAAACTATAACAAGCAAAGGCAATAGAACAAAACTCAGAAATCTCAGTGGAAATATATTACTACAAGATTTAAACCCCACCCCCCACAAAAAAGGACAATTCAAGTAAACATAAACAGAAAAGATGCAACTCGCTTTATTTGGAGCGCATCTTTCATAATTCATGCCGAGGCTGACCAGGTGTACTAGAGGTGATATTTAACAATACTTTTAAAATAAATAAGCCAAAAAAAGACACACACAATTTTTACAAGTATGAAAAAATACCGATATTCTTTACGATCTTTTATGATAATAATAACAGCTGTGTACAATACCGGGCAGAGTTACAGTAACAAAGGCAAACAAAAAACATTGAGATATTTTATAGTGACATATGTATAATAATAAGCTTATCACAAAAGTTGCCCTTGAGAAGTACTTTTAAGGTCTGCTATCTTTCAAAGACTATCTCTCTCCATTTGAGAATCCTTCTCCAGAGTCATAGTGTTCCTGTGAGGCTTTGTTTGATTTTGAGTTCTGAACCAAGTCTACTAAGAGAACAATTTTATTATCTATATGTTCCTGAAGGTTCTGAATCCGCAGATCAATATAATCCATTAGTTTTTTCTCCATCAGGTCCATATTTTTGGAGATGATCTTTTCCAAATATGAACAAATAGGCTGCTGCTCCAGTCTGTAGGAAATAAGTAGGAGTACGATAATAATTTCAGATCTCGTGGTGGGTAACGCTCATAAAAGGGGATTCTAGGATCTGTAGGAAGAGCCCTGGATTTTTAAATTAGCAGCTGATTTCCTAGAATGAATAATCAGCAGG